AATGAATCATTTGGTTAGACATATCTTTTCATCCTTAAATGAGATAAACTTATGTTGAATAATAATTTAGGCAGCTCTTGAATCATTGGATGCTATTATATGGTAGGAAATCACAATGCTTGTTGGATTAATAATAGTGATTCTCTTGATGCTTGTTAATTGACATTTGACAAATACAATTATTTTTATATATTTTGTAAATAAGGTTATTATAATTTATCCAATTATTTTTATTATGGTTATATTGGCTCCTAACCTGCTTAAATTTATGTTGGTAAATTAAGTGTAATCTCTAACTTGAGTTGGGAGTAACTTTCTTCCAATGATCAATAAGAAACTGTTATGCCGGTCCAGCCTGGACCGGCTCATCCTGGACCGGCCCAGCCGGTCCGGGCTTATGCCCGACGGAAGAAGGCGGAAGGGAGAGGGGGAACCGGGGTGGGGTCCAATTGATTTCAATTTGAAATTAATTGTTTTTGGAGGGAGAATGAAGGGTAGAGAAGTCCTTTTGCTTTTAATTTGAATTAGAGTGTATTAAATAGGGAGTTATGAGGAGAGGGGTTTTTCATCTTGCATTTTGAAATTACTTTGGGTTCTAGGTTTTCTTGCTTGGGCTCTCGGCGTTGCCGGAGATTGTAGGAGAGTTGTTCTTCCTCTCGAATTGAAGAACATTGTATCGGGCTTTGGTTTTGATTGCTTACTAGTGGAATACAATCGTCGCTAGTGTTTTCCTACAAGTTCTTCCCTATTTCCGCTGTTTTTGCGCTATTTGTGTGCCGATTTGGGTTAGGTTTGCTTGCGAACTCAAGTATTACCTTAGGGTTACTTGCGAACTCAAGTATTTCCTATCAGAAACATACATAACAAAAGTGCCAAAAAAAAAAAAGCACTAGCCCATAGTGTAGCTCAGCGTAACTCCTATGCTATTTGCATGACATGGCAAAACAAAACAAATAAAGTGTGTTATGTGGGGTTTCTCTGCACCATAGCATATATCGCAGATGACGCATGCTACTTTAGTTTATTTATTTAAAGTACTTCTATAAATTAAAAACTATTGTTGGAGCTTAGACATAGCATAATGAGAGCATTTTTGTCTCCATGTTCTCCTCGCATGTAGATAAATCTGATCTAATATCTGATTGAAGTAACATGACACATTTATAGGAAGTAGAAATATTTCTACTCCAGATTTATGGTTTTAGCATATAGCACTCAAATGTTACATGATGATCAAGAACATAGAGTTTTTGTAATGGCAATGCAATTATCTTTGTTATTTTGGATGATGAAGAAGGTAATATCTTACTGATGCACGAGTTAAGGATATGCTACCCATGTGTTGAGGTTGTTGTAAGTTTTTCTTATTTTTCTCTCATTTGTCAAAAAAATTGATAAATAATATTTTCCAATGGCGAAAAAGGATTCATGTAGCCGACCACACGTATTGGGATAAAGGCTTAATGTTGTTGTTGTTGTTGGTGGATTGTATTCATGTTCTCTATATATTTTTTTTTCGAAGTCATCTGAACATTTACTGATCCCCTTAAGCTTTTTCTCTTCTGAATTGGCTTACCTCTTCTATTTGATCTTGTTTTACTCTCTAAATTGTGGATATAATGTTTGCATTTTTTTACTTACAAGATAAGATTAGAGAGAGACGCCTTAGATGGTTTGGTCACATAAAACGGTGGCCTTCCGATAACCCAGTTAGAAAAGTAGAGGTATTAGATTTGACTTGTGTTAAGAAAGGTAGAGATAGACTTAAAAAGACTTGTTTAGAAAATATTAAAAATGATTTTCTTTATTAGATTTAAATGAGAATTTGACTTTTAACAGGACACAATGGAAAAAAAGTATTCATGTAGCCGACCCCATGTAGTGGGACAAATGCTTGATGTTATTGTTCTTGTTGTTGTAAGGTTTCACGCTTTTAAGCTAGTTCATAAAAAATTATCAGGCAATTTGTTTCATACTCTTTATAATAATTCATCCTTTCATCCACAACTTGATAACCATAGATTTTGATATTGAAATCTGGGTGAATGTTCTACATATAACTTCTTATATCATACATATATAAATGCAAGCATGCATAGCTCTTAAACGATTCAATTTAAAATTTTGTGCATCTTTAAATTACAAATGTTAATTGACATAAATTTGTACGCCTTATAACTTTGCATTGCACTTGCATTTTTTTCTAAGAACAATAGATCAAACTTAGTTCTAAAAGCCACGCAAAATGAAAGTTCAAACAAAACCAAAAGATATAGTTTTAAAATAGTTCTACGCCTATCCAAATTGCTTTATGAAATGAAAATCAATTATAAGCTAGTTTGGAATTCCATCATCAGGTTCTATTAGATGTCCTACAAAGGGAAAATTATTGGGTCAGGTGACCGGACATAGAGATAGGTCCGGATATTAATAAAATAATATTTTAAATTAAGCGCAGGTAAAACGCAAGTAAAGCACAGGTAAAGCACAAAGTAAAGCGCAGGTAAAGCGCAAGTCATAAAGCAGTCAAAAGCGCAGGTAAAGCGCAACTAAAGGGCAAGTCAAAAGCGCAGTCAAAAGCACAGGTGACGCGGCAAATTTTTATTGGTTGTCCGAACTTATTTTTCGCCTCCGGTCACCTGACCCAATAATTTGCCCCTACAAAGGCCTCCAAAATGGAGTTCAATTAGCGAAGGCAAGGAGCCATATCCAATTATCAAAAACTATCTAAGCAGGGGAAGCAAAACTAAAGCTATCTGAAATGGTAGAATGAAAAGCCATCCTCCTCTGAACAAAAATTTGATAAAATCGCAATTAAATAGAGGCCCGAAAAAAAAAAATTTGGGCAACGCATTGGATAAGCAAATAGTAACTTCAAAAATTTTTCTTGAACCCTTCGACTTCTCATTGAAGGGAGAACACAATAATGACATCAAAGCAAACCGGAAAAAGGAAAAAAAAAATCCAAAACAAATTTTAAGCAAAAAACCTAAGAAATGCCGTAACAAATCCGAAGAAAATGGCAAAAGCAAATGGGAGCACAACTAGAATCAAATTAGGTTTTCAGATAAATCAATAAACCAAAAGATTACCTCTTTCTCAGCACTGGTGAATCTACTTCAGCGGCCCTCCACTTATTTGATTCCGGCAATAGAAAACCTGATAACGAACAAACAATCGGAGAAATTGTTTGGTGCAGAGAAGGCTTTGCGCACAGCCAGTAGTCGAGTGGCGACGCCCAAGTGGCGATATTCGGTGGAATTACTAGCGGATGATGACGTCAAGAGTCGCGAAGAAATGCCTGCACCGATTTCTCTATGCGCCGCTCCGCATCAGAAGAAAAACAGTGTTTGGTAGAGCTGCAAGCGAACGAAACGTTCGACAATTCAGTTCGATTAAAGTTCGTTTTAATTAACTAAAAAAACCTACTTGAACACTGTTTTAAATACTCGTTTCTAAAATAAACAAGTTTGAACACTAATGCATTCGGCTCATTTATGTTCGCGAACAACATCATTTGAAGTTCGTAAACAAGCTCGACATTAAGCTCGATTCGTGTTTGATTTTGAACTCATGAATAAGCTTGATAAAAATAATTAATATTTGATTATAGAATTAATAAATATAAATAATATAAATAGAGATCAATATTAAGTTCGCGAACATGCTTAATAGTTTGTTAGGAAGCTCGTTTGTTAAGTTAATGAACATCTAAAAGTAGAGCTCGTTTATAACTCGTTTATATTTGTTTGTTTAAAGCTCGATAAACACTAAACAAACGAACATGAACCGAACATGAATACTCATTAATTTAAATGAACCAAACATGAACACAAACAATAAAGCTCGAACAAACATGAACCAAACTTGAACAACCTGATATTAAATGAACACAAACATGAACACTCACATACTCGACTCGACTCGGTTCGTTTGCAGCCCTAGTGTTTGGATGCATGCCTTACAAGAAATAAGAATTCAACATAAAATAAATACAATATTTTTATAGTTTTTAAGTTTTCTTTGTAATGCAACATCTAACACAATTCAAGCTCACCAACTTCATATAACATTTAATTTGCTTAATTCTTGCTTTGTTATATTTTAAATTATCTACTTTTACAGATATATTAACATTAATCTATTTTAGACTTACTAATCATCTTATTTAGCTAATATGAATTTAATGTTTCGTTTGGGACGGCTTTCTTACTATTTCGTAAAACGGCTTTTTAGTACAATTTCTTTACGAGAAATTTATTTTAAGCAGGAAGAAAGCCATCCTAAATGAAGCCTAAATTAATGTAACAATCAAATGATGGTGGAAAATAGTTTTTAGGCTTTATTTGCGATATCTTTCTTACTGCTTTCTAAAGCAACTTTCAATACAAAAATCTCAAAAAAATTTATATTAAAAAGCTATTTTTAAAAGTAATAAGAAAGCAATCCCAAACGAAGTTTTATTATTCTTTACTTTTCTCTTTGTATAAACTATTATCAGTTAACACTAAAAACAAGAGTTTTGTTTTCTCTCAATCCTTGCCTGAGAATTGTCATGTATGTTAAACTTCTAAGAGAACAATTTAAAACATTGGGTTTTATATGCTACAACCATTTCATACTTCATTTTAGAGGACCTCAATTTTGATTTAGTTGGATCTAGCACTAACTAAGACAAGGAGTTTATTTGATAATAATGGTTGCAGATCTCTTCTCCAAGACAACACATTAAAATGACAATATTTGTAATATTTGATTGGATCAACATTAAGAATTTTCATGTTCATCTTCTACTTTGTTGGAAGGACATATTACAAAAACTTACTATGTTGACTAAATATCCTCTCATCCTTTTATATTTGTTGCGTTCTGGAATATTCGCGGCGATAGAGAAATATATAGTTTAACGTCTTAGCATTGTACGAAGATCCAACGCACAAGCAGATAAGAGAGAGAGAGAGAGAGAGAGTAGCGTTCAAAAGAGACACCAGAGTTTTTACGTGGAAACCCCTGAAAAAGGGAGAAAAACCACGGGGCCTGGCCCAGTTTGAATGAATCCACTAGTATTTGCAGTCGATTACAAATGAGGCCCTTCTTAGGGAGAAGGCCTTGACTTGATGTTACAAATGTACGTCATATAGAGCACATTACATGGTGGGAGTTACAATAATCAACATGTTTGTTTGGTTGGAAGGGTCATTGTAGGTGATGGAGGTCGAAAGGACCGTAGTCTGCAGGAGATAGATGTCAGAAAGGCTGTTGTCTTACGATGTAAGTCAGAAGGACCGTAGTAGGCGATGGAGGTCGGAAGGACCGTAGTCGGCATGAGACAAAGGTTCGAAAGACTGTAGTTTATAGGAGACCGGTGTCAGAAAGACCGTTGTCTGTTGATGGAGGTCGGAAGGACCACAGTAGGCGACAGAGGTTAGAAAGATCGTAGTCGACAGGAGACTAGGGTCAGAAAGACCTCAGAAAGATCGTTGTCTATTGATGGAAGTCGGAACGAACATAGTAGGAAACAGAGGCCAGAAGGACCGTAGTCGGCAGGAGACCGGGGTCTGAAAGATCGTAATAGAAGGGCGATACTTCGGGAGAACTCTCAGCGTCAAGTGGTGGCCTGGAAGAAGTCCGGGTATAAGGTGGTGGCCTGGTGGAGCTCAGGGCCTCAAATAGTGGTCAGGTGGAATTCCGAGCCTCATGTGGTGGCCTGGTGGAGCATAGGGCCCCAAGCAGTGGTTTGGCGGAAGCCCAGGCCTCAGGTGGTGGTCCGGTAAGTCCGAGCCTCAGGGGGTGGTTCGGTAGAAGTTCGAGCCTCATGTGGTGGTCTGACAGAAGTTCGGACCATAGGTGGTGGCCTAGTGGAGCACAAGGCCTTAAGTGGTGGTCCGACGGAGCAACAAAATCAAGCGGTGGTCCAACGGAGGTGAGGGCCTCAAGTGGTGGTCTGGTAGAAGTCCGAGCCACAGGTGGTGGCCTGGTGGAGCACAAGGCCTCAAGTGGTGGTTCAGCGAAGCAACGACGTCAGGCGGTGGTCTGGCGGAGGTGAGGGCCTCAAGTGGTGGTCCGTCAGAAGTTCGAGCCACAGGTTGTGGCCTGGTGGAGCACAAGGCCTCAAGGGGTGGTCCAGCGGAGCAACGACATCAAGTGGTGGTCCGGCGGAAATGAGGGCCTCAAGTGGTGGTCCGGCGAAGACGAGGGCCTCGGGTGGTGGTCTGGCGAAGGTCCGACGGTGGTCTGGCGAAACTCCGACGGTGGTCGAGGAGAAGCTTCTTCATTCTCTTCTCCTCTTCTCTTCTTGCTTCGATCCCTTTTCAAGAGAAATGAGGGGTCTATTTATAGAATTATGGAGTGGCATGGTCCGTAAATAGGTGAGAGATCAAGGGTAATTGGGGATTGGTTGGATGGACGGTCGATATTGAATCCCTTGATCATGTACTGTTCGTCAAACATTTGAACACCTTAATGATGTCGGAATTCAGTAATCTTGGGCTCGTTGGATTCATCTCGTCAAGACGCTCGATTCGCTTATAATAACGTCATGTTTGGAAACTGTTTGGTAATCCAAATTGTGGTTCGAACCCTCCAACAACGCTTCAAACCCTTGATTTGGAGTCATTTGGGATCGGATTGAGTCGAATTTGGTGTCGTTAGGTTCGTATTTCCGAGACATTCAGTTCGACTGTAAGTTTACTGAAATCGGCGTTTGGATGGTTCCAATTTTAATTTCGGAAGTTTCCAACTTAATTTTGCATTGAGATCCGTGGCCGATCAAGATAATTTTTTGATAATGTATCAATATTGAATATGGATAATTCCTATGCTTTTAGTGGAGTGTTTATGTAGTGCAATGCATTGGCCAAATGATGCTGATAAATTATTCTATGAATTGAATTCATATGAATGTCCACTTGTAAAAACACAAAGAAAATACATAAGATAGGTCATAATGCACTTCTTTATGCCTTCGATATATACTTAAAGATCTTGAGCATCAATCTTTACAACAACAGTTTATCAAAGCTTCATTACCTTCATATACAAACTCTTATATTCCTTTCTTAGGGCTACCCTTTAATAATCCAAAAATACAAAAATTGTAAAAAAAAAAAAAATGAATTTCTTTTTTAATTGTGGCCCTCGGCACTGAGCCTCTTAAAAAATGCGGACACACACGCGCATGCATGTACTCACGCACACACGAACACACACATGCACGCACGCACACACGCGCGCACACACACCCCCACACCCACACGTACGTACGCACGCACGCGCGTGCGCACATACATGCACGCATACGCACGCCCGCCCGCCAGCTTGCATGCGCGCGCGCATACACGTACGTACACACACACACACACACACACACACACTTTTTTTTGAATAAATTGAGTAGAAAAAAAAAGCAAACTGGAAATGGGTTGAAAAATTTTTTCAGCTCGTTCTCTTCACTGTTTTTATTTTTAACCCAATTTGAACCATTATATAATATTTTATTCCGATTTTAGAGAATTTTTTTTCAATCAATGTTGTACAACTTTTTTTTCTTTACAATTTAATTCTATATTGTTAATCAATGTTGTATAACTTTGTAGATCTTATTTTAGGATTTAGGGTTCTATGTTTATAGAGATTTATGTTCATTTATTTTGATGTACTAACAAATTTCATAGGGTTTAGGGTTAAGTTAAGAATTTTTTATATTAAAAGATAGATTTTGATATTCATGATTTTGTTTCGTTAAGGCATTTAGTTTGGTTGTAAGTTTACTAAAATCAGCATTCAAATAAAGAGTGAAAGAGAGAGAGAGAGAGAGAGAGAGAGAGAGAGAGAGAGAGAGAGAGAGATAGAGAGAGAGAGAGAGAGAGAGAGAGAGAGAGAGAGAGAGAGAGAGAGATAAACAAAGAGAGATTGCAATAAATTAATTTTTGATAGTTTATATCCTTGGAGTTGCATAGCAAAATAATGATTTTTTATACATTTTTGTGATTTTAGGATTATTATTCAACATCTATATGAATATCTAAGAGGAGAGATATTTGATGTATAACAAGTTATTACTAGGAAGAAAAGCGTTGACATATGAATTTATTGAGGGAGTTGATACTTTCATTCACATCACATGTTAACTACATTTGTTTAAGTTGGATGAAATGTTTAAATGTCCATGCGAGAAGCATTAAAATCAAGTTTTTCTTAAACCCGAGAAAGTTATGGTTGATTTATATCGTATGATATTTATTCTAAGATATTGGTTATAGATCTTA